GCACATGATTTGCGGAGTGAGTGTGTGTGTGTGTGTGTGTGTGTGTGTGTGTGTGTGTGTGTGTGTGAGCGTAAGAGAGGAGAGAGACTGCATGTTTTTATGCATGTGTGCAATGCAAAGCCAGCAAACTGTGTGTGAAATGGTAAAGGTTGATATGTATTCAGCAATTTCAAATTCAGCAAGTGAAATATGTGTGCATGAGATTCCATTATCCATTTTAAAAGAAAGAGAATTGTTGCTTTTATATCTGATACAGAAATCAATAAGGGATGTCTAAATCTATGTGTTTTTTATTCAGCCTGTCACAACAGATCCTTGGGTGCTTTTTGTGGGATTTTAACATCCAACTTTTAATGTTTCATGTAAAGAAAAATGCTTGTATCAATGAAAACCTGACCTACTTCCCTGGTCAAGGTCATACAATAAGACACAAAATAAAGATGATAAAAGCTTGTGTGTGCATTATTATTATTTTTTTATTATTATTTTTTTTTTTCATATACTGTATATTGATTTAGAGTCGTGTTTAAGGTTCCCTGTTTGGGTTATAATTACCTCTTTTTTATTGACGTAGACTTCTTACAATTGTTCCAATTGTTTGTATGTCAAGATTTTTGTATGGGTATATATTTCTTTTTACATAATCTTTTGTACATGTATAGTCTTTGTACTTAGTATATTTTGGAGTATATTAGGTTTTAAATATTGTTTCGTATATTTCTTGAAAAGAACCGGAGGCCAAAAAATAGAAGTTTAGATAGACCTGGTATTGCATGTCTCCTAATTTGACGAGCGCAAACGTTAGTAAATCGGGTCGCGTGATTCATTTGAATACTCTCCTCCCATAAATTTTGCGTCTGAAAGGGAAACTTCTAGAAATGCATATTCAATGAGGTCAGGCCTTTTCAGCGCAAATTCTTCACTGCGCATCTTTAGTAAAACCTGACAGTACTATTTTAACGCCAAAAGACGGTTTGCACTGGCACAATCTGTTAGTAAAACTGGCCCTTAACCTCAAGCGCTTTTTTCACACTACTTGCGTCCCAAATAACGCACTATACACTTATTCACTATGTACTTATGCACTATGAACTCAACTGTGTAGTGTATGAATTATATAAGGTTATTTTGTCATTCATAACCCGAGTCTGATAGCCCCTCCCCCTCTACTACGTAATTAAATCTGACACATGTGTGCATGAAATGTCCAACATTCCACACTTCGTTTTTTTTTCTCGGTTTGTTAAGTACATCACTTAACACACTGCTCGCACTACTTACACTACAAAACGGCATAGAGTAATGCACAAGTACGCAAATTGGGACGCACCTAATTATTTTCAAGCACTAAATATACCATTCAAAAGTTTTGGGTCCACAAGTTTTTGGAAAAAAGTCCAAGTCTGCAATTATTTGCTAAACAGGATTATTGAGAAATATTATTACAATTTAAAATAACTCTTTCAAATTTTCAGCCGCCATTACTTCAGTGTTCACTGTCACGTGATCCTTAAGAAATCATTCTAATATGCTGATTTGGTGCTCAAGAAACATTTCTCGTTATTATCAATATCGAAAACAGTTGTGCTTCGGTGCCATCTTTTCCAAGATTTTTTTTATAAAAAAAAAACAGCATTTATTCGAAACAAAAATCTTTTGTAAGATTATAATTGTTATTACTGTTCAATTTAATGCATCCTTGCTGAAAAAGCATTCATGTCTTTCAAAAAACGAGATGTGGAAGTGGATCCGCATCAGGAGGTTCTCCTGAAGAAAACCAACACAGACAGTTTGGATCGTTTCTAGTAAATATGAGTCGGTGTGTGTGTGTGAGCGCACTGGATTTCTCTTTCCTTTGATCTGGCTCTGATAAACAATTCTGGAACAAGATGTTTAGCTCCAGTGCAATACAGCACGCTGGCTATTTCTGCAGCATTTAAAGAGTGAGGCATCTTTGAACGGGTGTTTGAGTATGTGTGTCAGAGCGAGTGAGTTGTGTGGTCCGGTTCTTATATTCATTTTTCTCTGTCAGCACTCACTTCACGTTAATCTGATCAAGTGAGAACAACACATCTATTTTTCATAAGAGTCCTTTTGATTCCCTGGCTGAACAAATTTAAAATCAATCGATCACACTGCAAGTTCCTGACAAAGGAATACAGGGTGAATGAGGGAGTGGGAGAGAAAGTGAGAGAGGCGAATAAGACCATATATCAAATCTCTAGTTCCCTTCCTTTCATCTCGCTAACAGCCGCGGATCACGTGTGCAACACCCCTAAAACTACGACCGCTGGAGAAACTACTTTAAAACCAAAGCTCCCCAAGCTACATGCTACTCAGTTTTAATCAAAACAGTTAAACTACAGTCAGGCTGCAAATTTGAAAAAGTAGCTAGCTACACTATAAAATTACTAAGCAACAGCAGCTTCATTAAATCTAAGGCAACAAAATTGTTTTATATATAACTATTAAATAATATAAATTACTTCTGAAATCAGAGCACAGTTTACCAGGTACAGAAATATTAAAGGTGGCAGCATTAAATTTACAAAATATGTATGCTAGATATAACTAATAAAACTTGAAAACTAATTTATAGGGAAATAGAGTTAGATTGAAGCATCCCTTTGTTCCCTATTTTATTACATAACTATTTTAAAACAACTGAACAGCATTATTTTAGTTTTATTTATATTGTATTATAGTATGTATGCATGTATATTAAAGTAGCTATGTTTTTATATTTCATTTTTTAACTGATTTTAATTTGAATTAATTTTAACTTTAACGGCTTTTATTTTCAGTTAGTTGCCAAGCCGAGTTTTAAAATTTTTCATCCAATATTCAATTTTTATTTTATTTCAGCTTTATTCCAATAAACGTTTTTAAACAGTTTTAGGTAGCAATAACACTGCTACTGAAAAAAAATTATGTATTAATCTTGCACTGTCATCTTGGATGACAAGCGGCATTTATTGTCAAGAAATAAAGCTGGTAAAACATTCAACGTATATTAGACGTACATTCTTTAGGTCTTTAGTATTTAGGACACTTTTTCAATTTCACTCGGCTAGAAAGCTTTGTGCGCAATATTATTAAGGGGGGGGGGGGGTACAATGCTGTTTCATGCATTCAGAGTTGTTTACACTGTTAAAGAGTTGGATTCTCATGCTAAGCATGGACAAAGTTTCAAAAAACTATTTGGACTATTTCTGTGCTGAAAATCTTTTTTCGAAAAAAAGTTTTTCCCATCATCTTAATAACGTAAACGAGGGTGGAACTCTATATATGGGCATTTCTCCCGAAAGAATGCGCCCGCGTACACATCGACCAGAGCGAGAGCGAGATCGCGCCCATCAACGTGCTTCATCCGGCGGCAGCACTGCACGGGACTTGCTCGGGAAGAATGTCTCCAATCCAAAGAAGTGTGTTTTTGGTTGTAAGGGAAAGATAACTTTGTTCAGCTTCCTAAAGAACCCAGCGTTATATAAACAGTGGATACAGTTTGTTTTTCTGGGGCAGCAACGGAGTTTCACAAGTGTGTTTGTTGACGAACGTTTTACAAACAAGGCTCAGTTCGACGCTGGATTTGCACATCGTTTGATACTGAAAGATGGAGCGGTCTCAGCTATAAAAGATCCCAGTCATGATTCAGAACTGCAGACGGTAAGTGAAACGGCATCAAATGTCTGTTGTGTTGACATTCGGCACCCAAGTGCTTGTCACTCTTTAGCTCCACCCACGGTGCGCCTCCAGGAGCTCTGCTTTTTCCGGAGAGTATCGTAAAGCTGTATCTTTCTTTTATAAATACAATAAAACCAAAGACTTTTTGGAGATATGAAGGATGCAGCACTACTCTATAGGTACTCAAGATTAACATGAGATTGGGTGAAACTGTGTGCGTTATGCCCCCTTTAAAAAACATCAGCAAAGCAGCATTATATGTTATACTACTCTTAGCAAAAAAAGTTTTCTAGAGGACTTGAAACAGTTAAGCTAGTCAAACAACTAAAAAAACATATAGGTAAGTTAGTACCACAAGTACTAATTATCTACTCCCCAACACTAATAACTCGGAGTTCACTGAGCTTGTAAATAGACTCTTCACACACTGCATTCAACCTAATTTTTCACTCTGAAAAACATCACATCTCACGCCCTCCGCTAGACACTTCTCATTGAGTATCACACAACAAATCATTAGTGTATGGAGCGTTTCATTTCCTGCTCAGATAATAACGCAGCTATTTATGCAGGGGTGCAGATGTGCAGAGGAGCGAGGCAGAAACGAAGAGTTGGCATTTCGCTAATGTACTGCCTGTCGTCTGGTGCACGTGAGGAGAGGGGTCGCATCTAAAAGACGGATGGTGCGCCGAGCGCTTTGGCCCCATGCCTGCGTCTGCCTCACAAATGCAGCAGTCAAACAAATGGGAGAAATCTTGGCAGCTCCATTCAACAGATCCTCAGCTAAAAATAATGAGCCCGCAACAGAAACAGACCTTTGTTACTGAACTGCAGACGAGGTGCTAATTGAACTAAATAACACTTTGATGATGCTGTCTTTTGTGACCTTATGAGTAAGCACAGCTGCATTCACAGATCTATGGCAGAAAAGCCCTGACATAGACAGTACTGGCTGCATATAAATGGGTATTTAAGATGGAGCCAATCATAGGGTCTCTCGGCGAGCTATCTTGATTGGACAGCTCAGCCGCTTGCTCGTGAATGATCGTTCAATTGCTTATTTGCTTAAAAGCAATTATCTGTATTGATGCTCACGCGGTGTGTCCTTTAAGGACATAAATGTGAGATAAACACAATCTATGGTCCTTAATCAAGTCCGGGCCGAATAATCAGGTCTGGGAATTAGAGGAGTTGGTTGAGGAGTACAGGAAGACCTTATAGAAAGCTTCCACATCCTTAATAATCCTATCCGAGCTCATTTTAAGCAACAGCAGAGCCCGTATATATACCTGCCAACTCCTGCTGCCATATGCCTGTAAAGCCCATGACGCCTACGTCCATAAATCTAAATATCCACTTAAAAACAGCTCCAATGAGTGTATGAGCGGTCTACCGTCTACACAGGCAACAACAATGTGTTCTTAGATTCAATATCAGCCATTTCTAACTGTAATTGGTCTAAATTGTGCATATTATTGTAATCCATCTAGCAGTTCTTGAACATAAGAAAAAAATCTTATTACTGGTAATAAAAACAAACAAAACTAAAAAACTTTTTTTTCTGAACTGTTCACTGAAATTATAAGTAACATAACTGGAAAAAAAACTAAAACTAAATTAAATAAAAATAGCCAAAATGTAATTTTAGTTTTTGATACATGGTATATTATAAAACTATTATAATACTTAAAACCTTTAGTAACACTAGAACGTGCTGAGAAATGTAACATGGGAAAACATTTTAAAATAACTTTGGCTACTTTAAAATACACTAAAAGATACAATAAAAACTAAAATATTAAAACCAAAACAAACTAAGTTTGACGAAGTCAATAAAACTGAAAAGATGCATTTAAAATAAAATAGAAATAAAAACTTAATAAAAAAGGCTGAAATACTGAAATGGATCCTCTGATGAGAATGATTTGAAACTTTTTGGGACCACTGTATCCTTCTTGGATGAGATAATCCTAGAATGCGTTGTGACAAGCTCAGTAAAAATGTCCAATTAAGATATTTTATTCAGCACTTCAAAGTAGTCCGATCTAATTCAAATGGAGTATTTCATGCAGTATGTCTTAGATTCTGCTACGCTGTTGTGCTCTGTATCTTCATTGCTTTTTGATTATCAAGTTGCTATTTTAGCCACATGCTAGTCCCACACTAATCTGGAATGACCTGTGAGTGGTATTTAAGCCTCTCTTGCATTTCAGTTGATGAATGTGAATGTCTTTTAATGGACTTTTTTGTAAAAACATTTTTACTGAGCTTGTCAAAACGCATTCTAGAATTGCCTCATCCAAGAAAGATACAGTGGCCCCAAAAAGTTTTTGGACACAAAAGTCTTACAAAATGTATGCATTTTTTTGTGCATCACCCAATCAAATATCAAACCAAGTGGCTTTTTTTTTTTTTTTTTAAAGAAATACAGCTCTTTGTAGGGCTGTAAAAAAAATTTTTTTGTTAGCCTATCCAGTTGAATATTTAAGTAGAAAATTCAAATTTAGTTTTTCAGTCATTTTGACAGCCCTAGCTCTTTGTAAGCATTTCACATGTTAAAACAGATATAATGTTCCAAATTATGATGACGTATCTTTGGCTTTTCTGCTTGGGGAAATTGGCTATTAAAACCATTAAAATTCACCTGGTGATTAAAAGTCACTGTACGATGGCTCAGAATTGTTCTAAAAGTTAGTTCTGAGAAGAAATCTAATGTATTTATTTTATTTTTTTTGCAAATGTGAATTGATTTGATTTTTTTTATGACACTTTAAGTGTGTCTTAAAGCCATTTTTTGTTGCCATTGTATTTACATTGCTGACAAAACATCCACTATGTTAGAAAGCTCTAAAAACACAGTAAGAATTTACATAAGATCATACACAGTAGACAAAATATGTCTCCCAACAACAGAAGGAAATAAAACCATCCATTACTTCACAGTTAAATATGAAGCTACAGAATCAACCTACAGTTTTATTTAAAGTCTCGTCGTATTCTCAGAGAATCCTATCAGCCAGCCATTTTGAATCAAATATACTTATCAAAGATACTCCAACAGAACTCCAAAGAAACTCCTGCCAGAAACATCACCGAGACACATCTTTTTCGGTGCATGGAGTAATTTATGAATATTACAAAAAGTTGTCAAACTTCAGCTGTCTGCTTTCCTCTGGAGTTATTTTCCCTACGCTGCTCAGACTTCATGTTTCCATTTCTACCACTCTTCAAACCACACAAGGATGAGCACAAGCAGCAGTGCTTGAAATTCAACACCTAACATCTCTGGAATCTGAGATCAAGGTTGACAAAATCCAAGAGAGGAGCGGAAAAAGACAGAACTGGGAAAGGGGACGCGAGGAGAGACAAAAGTAGGGTTGAGGAGAGGTGAGAGGAGGAAATGCCTGAGAGAGAAAGAGGGATGAGAAGAGAGGAGGTAAAGCTGATCATTGTGTCAGCAAAAACAGAAAGTAACTTATACGGAGAAAGTGTGGAAGAAAGGGGTGAAATGGGGATAAAACAAAAGTCTTACGAAACACTCGGCTGCGTCGTCCATGATGCCCAGCTGGAAGCGCTGCTCGTCTTGGAAGGTTTTGGCCAGAGCGCTGCGCAGGGCGTCCGATGGGAGCACCTTCTCACTGCTGAACTGGAACTGGGCAAAGATGCTCTGAAACCACAAACAGCACCCCAAAGTAAGAACGAGAAACTGATGCAACTAAGACACGCCACAGCACACAACAGCTTTCGTCAGCCTGCCCGCTCACTGTGGAGAGAATACACACGTCGAGAGAGAACGGCTGACATCCTGTACTGTAAAAACATTACACTGCAATACAACCAATCACAGACTCTGTTAGGAGAAATCAATAAACAAACACACAGGCTGTGTTTCGAAACCTAGCGACTTGCCTACTCCTTACAAAAAGCATTTTTGTATATGATGGCCAAAAATGCAGTCTAGCTATGTAGACCAGAAGCAAACATGCCAACATGCCTGTAATAACCCTTATGAAAATTAACCATGGTTTTACTACAAATAAAACAAAAAAAACATGGTTACTATAGTTAAACCATGGTAATCACAAATTAGCCATGGTTTTGCTACACTAACCATAGTGTAGTTTTAGTGTAGTAAAACTGTGGTTATACAAATGGTAATCAATATGCAAAAAAAACATGGTTTCAACACTTTTACTACAATAAAACCATGGTTAATTTTCATAAGATAACATTCCACCAATGTGGTCTAAATAGGCATCTTGGACCAAACATTTCAATGTACCCAAAAAACGTTATTTAGGCAAGAGAGGGGGCAAAAATACAAACATGTCAAATTCAAAATTATTTAAGGAAAGAAAAAAAAAAAAACATAAAACGTAGTTTAGGCCAGGCCCAGCTCCAGACTCTTATCACTGAGGGTGCTCTATCCTTAATATATACAGTATATAAAGATTTTAGTGCCATCCATTGCTATGGTGCAGCGCTCCGTTCATAATCACTAAAAAGCTGTCATTCATCTTAGTTAATTGCAATCTCACAAAGTTACGTTATAATTAATGAAGTTCTCTACGCTGCACAATGAATCTCTTATTTTCTTTGTGTCTACTCTTTGTTATAATGAGATGATTCGTACTGAACACAACACCTAAACAAAAACTCTGGTGATTTGAGAGGTGAGTGGATTCTAACTGTAATGCCTCTGATTGGCTGTTGCTTTTAAGAAAGTAACATATATGTCTGTGATTGGCTACATTGCTCAATGCTGCAAAAACACGTTGAAATAGAAACCGATCTCCAGAGCGCAAACCATAAAGCACTGGATAGTTTGCCAAATCTGCAATGAAATGCCATTATTACAGCTTTACCTGAGGGTGCTATTGATTTGGTTAGCACCCTCTAGCACCCCCATAGAACCGGGCCTGGTTTAGGCAGCAATGTTTAGACAGCCATACACAAGTATGCAAAAAAATATATATATACTAAGTAGGAGGGTTTTTATTGTTGTTGTTGTTTAACAGCTAGTGTTTAAACAGATTTGAATGTCCAATAAAGCCAAGAAAATGTTCCAGTGTGCCCCCTAACTCTGTTTAAATGGGCATCTCAGTAGGTTTTGAAACACAGCAAACATTGAAATGTGTCTAAGTAGGCAGCTATCAACATTTTTAAACAGTTAATATTGGAACATGTCCAAATGCCCAAAAATCATTAGATTTTTAAACAACTAATATACAGTGGGGCAAAAAAGTATTTAGTCAGCCACCAATTGTGCAAGTTCTCCCACTTAAAAAGATGAGAGAGGCCTGTAATTTTCATCATAGGTATACCTCAACTATGAGAGACAAAATGAGAAAAAAAATCCAGAAAATCACATTGTAGGATTTTTAAAGAATTAATTGGTAAATTCCTCTGTAAAATAAGTATTTGGTCACCTACAAACAAGCAAGATTTCTGGCTCTCACAGACCTGTAACTTCTTCTTTAAGAGGCTCCTCTGTCCTCCACTCGTTACCTGTATTAATGGCATCTGTTTGAACTCATTATCAGTATAAAAGACACCTGTCCACAACCTCAAACAGTCACACTCCAAACTCCACCATGGCCAAGACCAAAGAGCTGTCAAAGAACACCAGAAACAAAATTGTAGACCTGCACCAGGCTGGGAAGACTGAATCTGCAATAGGTAAGCAGCTTGGTGTGAAGAAATCAACTGTGGGAGCAATTATTAGAAAATGGAAGACATACAAGACCACTGATAAGCCCCCTCGATCTGGGGCTCCACGCAAGATCTCACCCCGTGGGGTCAAAATGATCACAAGAACTGTGAGCAAAAATCCCAGAACCACACGGGGGGACCTAGTGAATGACCTGCAGAGAGCTGGGACCAAAGTAACAAAGGCTACCATCAGTAACACACTGCACCGCCAGGGACTCAAATCCTGCAGTGACAGACGTGTCCCCCTGCTTAAGCCAGTACATGTCCAGGCCCGTCTGAAGTTTGCTAGAGAGCATTTGGATGATCCAGAAGAGGATTGGGAGAATGTCATATGGTCAGATGAAACCAAAATAGAACTTTTTGGTAAAAACTCAACTTGTCGTGTTTGGAGGAGAAAGAATGCTGAGTTGCATCCAAAGAACACCATACCTACTGTGAAGCATGGGGGTGGAAACATCATGCTTTGGGGCTGTTTTTCTGCAAAGGGACCAGAACGACTGATCCGTGTAAACGAAAGAATGAATGGGGCCATGTATCATGAGATTTTGAGTGAAAACCTCCTTCCATCAGCAAGGGCATTGAAGATGAAACATGGCTGGGTCTTTCAGCATGACAATGATCCAAAACACACCGCCCGGGCAACGAAGGAGTGGCTTCGTAAGAAGCATTTCAAGGCCCTGGAGTGGCCTAGCCAGTCTCCAGATCTCAACCCCATAGAAAATCTTTGGAGGGAGTTAAAAATCCGTGTTGCCCAGCGACAGCCCCAAAACATTACTGCTCTAGAGGAGATCTGCATGGAGGAATGGGCCAAAATAACAGCAACAGTGTGTGAAAACCTTGTGAAGACTTACAGAAAAAGTTTGACCTCTGTCATTGCCAACAAAGCGTATATAACAAAGTATTGAGATGAAATTGTTATTGACCAAATACTTATTTTCCACCATAATTCTTTAAAAATCCTACAATGTGATTCTCTGGATTTTTTTTTCTCATTTTGTCTCTCATAGTTGAGGTATACATATGATGAAAATTACAGGCCTCTCTCATCTTTTTAAGTGGGAGAACTTGCACAATTGGTGGCTGACTAAATACTTTTTTTACCCACTGTATATATA